GTTTCATCGGATTTGGAGGAAACGTAATCAGAAAGCAAGTAAAGGAGAAAGCTAAATGGTACATCACTCACTTTGATGAACTGCTAAAGGAACTGGAAGAGCGATAAATTATACAGTAAAATAATATATTTAACAACTCTACATCCATTATACAATGCAATTAAACATTTATTTGTTTGCAAAGTTTTGTTTTGGATTTTGTAATGATTCTGGGGGTTGCGCACCTTCGTCTCTGGCCTGAAACTCGTGGTGCAGTTGGCACCATTCTACTCAAACCTTTTGTCATGAAAATGGTAAGGTTTTTTTTAAATATCTTTTCCAAGATGGAAGAGTTCAGTTGATTATTCATTCGGAGTGAAAAGCAAAGGTAGAAATTTATCAGTAAGTTAAAAATACCTTAACGGATTTGCCCCTTGTCAATACTGAGTATCCAGAATCATTGAAGCTAATACCTCTATTTATTGTGGCTGGCAAAAGAATCATAGAATGGTTTCGGTTGGAAAGGACCTTAAGATCATCTAGGTTCAACCCCCCTGCCATGGGCAGGGACATCTCACTCTAGGTCATGTTGCCCAAGGCTCTGGCCAACCTGGCCTTGAACACTGCCAGGGATGGAGTATTCACCACTTCTTTGGGCAGCCTGTTCCAGTGCTTCACCACCCTTACAGAAGAGGGGCCACAATCAAGAAGTTTAAGTAATTAACAATAATATAGTCTAAAAGGAAAACAAAATGGTACTTTCCATTCCAAAGACTCTCAGAACTAGGTTGAACAGTGAACAGACAGGTAGGAAACATTACTAAGTATCTCTGATTGCATTAAAATACATCTACAGGAGAACCTGAGGTGTCACCTGTGACTCAACATCACTAAACTCAAAAACGGTGATTTTGTAAATGGGGAACACTGTTTACTTCACTGTTTTATGTATTTAACAACCCATGCCCATCAACCTGTAACTGGATGGAAGCTAATTCATCAACCTTTAAAAAAATGGTCTACTCATTAAGAAAACACTGTGACACTTATTCTCTTCCTCTGCCTCGAGCGTGGATCGACCACCCTTGAACTGCTTGTACCAGAAGTAAGTCTGACCTGTTCTAAGGAGGTAGTTCTCTGAGCTTCACCTAGCAAATCCCAGTTTCCTAAGGATTTGCCTTTTCTGGCTGCAGTGTCTGATCCAAGAGGGTCCTTATACAGAGCACACTTAATAAATGCTTTTCGCCAGCAAGTTCCTGACAGCTCTTCTGAGTATGTCTTTTTAAGCAGCTTTGGTGACACGTTGTGGTACTTTTATTTCCCTGACTTAGATGAATCTCACCTCAGATAATGTGAAAAGCTTTACTAATGTTAAAATGTTTGTCACATCTCTTTCCATCTTCTTTCCCACTTCTTTCCATCTACCTAGTACCATCACAGGAGAAAGATGGGTAGATATGACAAGATTTGTGCTGGAAAAAATAAATCTATGCAGGCTCCTATCTATCTTCTGTGTGCTTACAAATAGTGCCAGTATTTTTCTGGGAATTGAAGATTAGGCTGAGTGTGCCAATCCTCTTTCATCCCACCACGTATTTCACAGACGAGAAACAAGTGCTGTGCCTGCCTTCCAAAATCTCACACTGTCTCCACAAGATGATCACAGGTTTGCACAACTTGCAGTAGATTTCCTTCATTTAATGAGGTCAAATCAAGATGCTGTGAGAGCTCCTTGTCTGAGCATCACCAAAAATCAAAGCAAATCCCAGTTCTGTCCATTCTGCACCATCATCAGAATGGATAGAGGGGAAAGTTGTGTTAACAGAGCCCCAGAGAGTGAGGAAGGGCAGCTCTCAGTGATGCCACCTAACGTTTTTGGTGACAAACATGAGGCAATAATCGCTCGAAGTTACAACAGCACTTACCTACTAGAGAAGTAGAAGGGTTAAAAGAAACAAACCCAGAAATACACTGCTTTTTGGAGAAGGGCAGGTATATCAACAGCAGTAATGAGTATGCAGAGTTTAAAGAACTCCACAAAGCCAAGGCAGACAATAGTTGGCAGGCAGCTCACAGAACACTGCTGGGAGTATCAACCATGATCTCTTTTGAGTTCTTCCTGAGAAAAACCTCAGCCAGCTCTGAGGACAGCTCATGTACAATCATGCTTTTGTTTAGTCCAGACTGCATGAGCACAACAAGTATCAACTCTTTTGGCTCCCACTCAGTGTGTTCCTCTGCAGTTCTACAGTTAGGAAGCACAAGTGTTGTCTGTTAGCTGCAAATAAAACAATCTAACAGCCAGCCCATCAGCTACAGCTACAGGCCCTGATCTGACAAACACTGTGACATACTTTGCTATGTCATTTCACTAATGGCACAGTCAGAAGACCGTGCCCGGGCTCTGTGCCACAGAGATGTTAACATTCACAGCAGGATCTTCTGCCAGTCAGAGTGCTATGGAAACATGGTGTTGTGCCAGTGATTTCACAAGAGCTCTTTAGGTCTGACTGGCTTGAAAAAAATACCACCCCCCTTCCACTGGGCAAATATCAAGCCTGACCTCTAGAGCAGGAGGCACCCAAAGGATTACTTAGCTTCGAGTGGCTGAGCTCTTCTGTCTGTAAAACATTGGGAAAAACTAGGAGGGAATAAAGCAGCATGAGGGAATTTTCAGTGCTCCAGCCGAGCTACCGATTCACCTGAACATATCCCATCACAGCAAAGTGTGGACAGCAGCACGCATCAGGCCAGTAATACCTGCTCTCCCCATCGGGAGACACACCACTTCATATAATCATATAAAGCCTTTTACTTATTAATTAGCCAGCCTTAAGTTATATATTCAATTTGTATGAGGGGACTTGTAGTTTGCAGCTTTTCTAGGAAGACTGCAGGACAACTAACCCTGAGTTTTAATTCAGTCTTTGTTACAGTGGAACAAGAGACCCTTCCAGGCATCGTTCCCCACTTCCTAAGCACTGGAAAGTGACTTCAGTTCTGCACTCCACAAACTCTGCTCTAAGAAATGCTGACACATTGCTCATCAAAGGAAAAAAGGCAGACTTGGCCACGAAATTAAGAAGGGAAAATCACAATAGTGTTCACAACAGGGCAAAACCCAACTTCAGAGAGGGCTCAGGCAAAGGGAAGCAAGAAGGATCAGCATCACTTATTTATCTACTGTGTTACATTCGAGTTTACATAGTTATCTGTAATTAAATAACAGGAACCAGTCTCTCTCTGATGACAGTCAGGGCACGGGTTTAGAGCTCAGAATGACAGGAGGCACTTTCATGACACCACCACTAGCGGGAATTCAGATCTCAGGCAGTGTATAAAGACTGAAGAGACTTGTGCCATGTGATGGCACCCTGCAGAACATCCAGTTATTCCTTGGATTTCTTATTCATGAAAAGCTTGGTGATCCTCAAACAACAAGTGCTCTACCTGACTGGAATTCCTGGTGCTCCCAGCTGAAGGTAAGCATCAGAACCCACAAAATCCTTTAACTCCAAAAATGGTTTTCCCCTTTTGTCTCTGGCTGAGATTGCTGGTTGTGAGGGGTAAGTTACAAGGAATTCTCTAGGAACAAGAAATACAGGAGGACAGGGAGAGAAATAACAAGGACTGGAAGCTGATCTGTCATCCTTTTTTTCCTTTTGCACCTGAACAGTAGACCCAAAAGCCTGGGAAAATGACAGCCCCAGATGACATTAGTGCTTGTGGCTGATTTACAAGAGGGAGCAGCTGCATTGATGTACGTGGCCCATGTGTAAGCCAAGCTGAGAAGTTGGAGCTAATTCAGTACAGAGTTTTACTCAGTAAAATCCCATAATCAGTTGGCAGCAGGAGGAAAATCTGAGAACAGGCAAGAATGACATCAAATATTGACTTCATTCAAGATGAAATTCAAGCAAAGGCAAGAGTGCAGAGTAATTCACATGGGAATAAAAAAGAAATCAGACCTGACATATGAAGCATAATTTGTGGAGACAAATCAAAAGGAAAAACTATTCTGTATTTTAACACCACAGCACTTACGACCTCTAGAACCTCAGCAAAACAGCATGTAATGGAGATCTTGTACATTTGTTTTGGGGAAAGAGAGCAGGATACTGGGAAATGCTGCCCCTAACACAAAGGAGTGACACTGGCTACCTGAGCTGGAATATTCTCCACAATTATTCATGTTGTCCATAATTAACACTGCAAGATGAGAGAAGACACAGGTGGTGCATTACAAACAAGGTGCCAGTAAAATGTGAAAAGTAAAAGGATTTTATTGACTGATATGTTCTTCCTGAAAACTCATTGAAATGTACAAACTGGACATTGAGTAACTGATTTGTACATTCTGTAAGTTACACTGATTCTTGCAGCCACTTGAAAGAGAGAGTATTACTTTCACTTACAGGATGTTCACATCATTGCAGACACCAAAAGGGTTGATACATTCTAGTCTAAAAGTGAAACCAAAATAGAACTGGACATAATGGTACACTGCTATATGCCAATCCTATTGACTCAACATGCGCCAGTTTCACACATCAATTTGTTAAGTACCTACTGTACACTTAGTGAAACACCCGACCAAGCAAATGTCTGAAGTCATGATTGCTTATTAAATTAAACCCCTTTTCCTAGACTTCCACCTTAGCTGTAGAGAGAAATGTGTTTAACTGAACCGGATTCCCTGCAGAACATTCAGACAACTACATCTGGTCAGTACCTCTTTGAAAACTGTAGGTTACACTTCACTGTGGGTGTAGAGATCTACACAAAGATGTGGTTGGTTTCAACAGGCTTCAGAGGCCTTGCAAAACACAATGCCCTGTTCTCTGTCCATAAGCTATCACCTGACAGACTATCCTCAATTTATGATTGCTTATTGGTAACTTTAGAGCTACCTGCTGACTCAGGCCTGCCAGAACAGCAAGGGCATATTTCAGAGCTGCCCGAGGGCTTCAGAGCTTCACATCTCAGAACTTCCATGTTTGCTTTTAGAAATACGAGTCACATAATGCTAGACAAAGGCCACAACAACTGTAACATTCATTCTGTTGCTGTTACTGAACTCTGGGCATTGTCTATGTAACAGAAGATATTAAATACTGTATGCCATACTTAACCTGAGGAGCTGTCTCACAGAGGAACTCATGTATGTCTTTGTACTTGTTTTCAATTAACCAACATTTAATTCCAGTCCTGTATTTCTTGCTTTCTTGGTACAATCCTAAGAGCAAAAAGCCATTAGATTCTGAAGAAAAGAGGTCTCTTTTATAAGCTCAATACAGTACTTTTATATTTCAGACTATGATATACAATGTATACCATAAATTAATTTAAGACAAATACTTGTCACTTTATCTATGTAGGCACAAGTAAATCAGTGACTTTACTGAAGCGGAGAAATCTTCAATGGTATCATGATTCTGGACTCCATTTCCTGAATAAGGGGCACTGAAAAAAAAGGAGACAGGGTTTAACATCACTAAGAGAGATCATGAGCAGTTCTGCACACTCAGTTTGAACTGGTATTATTGTCCTCAAATTACTCTCCTAGCTAGTGCATGCCAAGTCATCAGCAACCACTGACATTCCTGTAATTGAAGCATTTTAGTTCTATTCCTTTCCACCATAAAGAAAATAATCTTACATTTTCCTGGCATACTTCCTTTGAAATGTAGCCTGTGGTACCCAAATGTGTGCTGCTTAGCATTAGGTGAGGTTTGTTATGAAAGCTATCTTTGATCTCAAAGATCTCCTGGCTTCTAGTTCCAAAGTCGAAATTCCCTTTTCAAAGGAATGCAATTAACAAGGCTCCTGTATTGCACGAAATATTAGAGGGAATAATTTAATATAAATTTCACTACTGGCTCCCTACATTTTTGGGCACAAACTTAAGATGCTTTGTACACAAATCTGTGCTTCTACAGGAGAGGTGCTTGAATAAAAATATACTATTAATGTAGCAATCTTTTAGCAAGTTTGTAGGATCAGTTGCAAAATTCACTTTACAGCTTAGTGAAATGTCCCTCCTTTCCCTTCCAGTAGAAAAACTGACATACAGACAGAAGCACAAGAGACGCAAAACTTAGCACTGTGCAATCTCCTAAAAGAAGAAAAATGATGGCATGCACAAAAGTCTACCTCCAGCATTCCAGTGAAGTTAATAGGTTACCTGTGTAATAGACTAGCTCATCCCAGCCTGGTTTATGCCATGCAGCATTCCTTATATCTTCTCTGGTTTGGAGATCTTTGTAAGCTGGTGAGGGAAAACAAGCACAAAGCTTAGAAGCAACTCTTTTTCTTTCTACACATGAATAGCTCTCTTAAAAGTATTCTACTGCATGAGACTGCAAACACTGGGAAGGAATAAAGCCAGAAGTTCTTTTCCACAAAAAGGAAAAGCTCCCAAACTCATGCAAATAGAAGGAACTGGAGAAAAGAGGGAATGCCTTAGACACAGGTAAGACAGATAAAGCAGGAGTTTATATGAATGCTGTCAGATTTCTAATGCTGGAATGAAATACTCTGAATTGTTGAGATGTGAAGACACTACTGGGTATTTTCTAAATTAAATATTAGATTATGAGTTTCTTCAAGTTGAAACAATGGTAAAAGCAGGTAAAACATTTGTGGAGACTAACACACAGAGAAAGCCAAAACACCATGATGTAGTAATGTAAATAAATGCTTGACTTTCTTTTTTGTAGGTATGGTGTATGTGATGCTTGAAACTAAACTGTAAAAACCTGACTTCAGCATGAATGGGGATGGAGAAGAGAGATGGCAGGACATCACTTGTCATGGTTATGCTACTGAAAGCAAACAAGTAAGTCACTAATAAGAGAGGGCCATGAGAAACTGTGGATGAAAATAGAATGAAACATGAAATGTTCACTTCTGTTTGCTTGTTTGAAGAATAAAGCTACTTACACAAAATCAAGAAAATCAACACCGTCAATGCGAAACAAAAAAATCCCAACACCCTTTAAAGACATTCCTTTGCCTCTTGTAAAAGCCTTGTCTCCTGGGCAAAGTCAGTCTGCTGGGACCTGATTCGGTGAGATAAAAGCAGAGAACACAAATTTACCCCAGAGGTGATGAACCATATACAGCTGTCCAATCTGTGAGAAAAAGCCTCCAACTGCTTCATTATTATCCTGTCGGAAACGAATTGCACGAGCCCTACAGAAGAGCAAAGCAGCCATTAAAAACAGCAGATCTGGGTAGGAAATAAGTCATGGCTAAAAGGAAAACAGAATTGAAAGTAGGTGAAGTGTTTACAGCACTTGCACTACACACTTCCACAATTAAAAATAACAAAAGCCTCTGCAACACACTGCTCTTCAGCACTAAGTATTTAAAGTATGCCTCAGTATCTTGTTACAATGAGTTAAAATTGGAGGCCCATGGTTTTACTAGACTGTGCATTAATCATTCGTCAAGGTTAGATGCAGTATAAAGATAACTGCTGGACCAGTGCAAAGTGGCAGGCCATTGTTATAGCAGGTTCTTCTAAACCAAAATATTTGAGTTTCAGTCATACCACTCTCATTTACCACAGATTTTGTGGTAGTGGAATACAACTCCTAAGTTCACACAGACCTTTGCTATGCAGCTGTCCTATGCAATGCTCCCTGATTTGTTGTGTAAATAAGATTAATACTTCTCTTAAGAATTAATCTGCTGCAACTTCTAAAACAGATTGGCTACCACTATAGATTGAATTGTATCAATTACAATGGCATGTCTGAAAATCCAAGTCCTCACCTTTGTCAAACTAATTGAAAATACTTCAAATTGTGCATCTATCAACCATTAGAATTGCAAGGACAGTGAATGCAAACTGAACAAAACTTACACTAGTTTTAAGTCAGACAAAATCAGAAGCATATACTGAACAGAAGGCTGTCTCAAATGCTTTTAACCTCGGTATTAAAATGGAAATGTGCTGCTCAACAGCTTTTCAAGCAGCAACTTGTCTTTTAAAGATTAAAAGAGCAAAGATTTAGCCCATTTAAAGCAAAAGTATGTCAGCTTCTTGTGGTTTGTGAAAGATCAACACTGTCTTAAGGAGTTAAGTGCAACCCTTCACTAGGCTTTTTGATGAAAATAAATGGTTTCTGCTATATTACAGCGAGCTAAAAGGGTTATGAGAAGGAAAGCTACACTACAAAGCCCTCAGTGTTGTTTGCATGCAGAATTCCCCTTTCTTTCCTCGAAGGATAAATTAAGGGCCAAAAAACTGTCCTACAAGTTGCATAAGTACAGAAGCAGGCCATTAACTGGGAGACTGAACTGCTTTGGTACCATCCTGCCACCTCCACTTCATGACTTTTTGACATACGTCTCCCAAACACGAGAAAACAAGTGTTAAAGCAACACTTACCAGTAATTTCCCCACTCAATCATTGTTCCAGGCTACAAAAATCAAAATAAACTGTAGTTTAAAGAAAGTTAGAATACTTGGACAGTTTTCAGAACATTTACATATGGAAAACACTGTGTATTAACAAAATCACTTCCTTTGAGTGATAAACATAGTATAACCATCTTTAATTACTCTGTTTACTTACTGTATTACTTCTTAGTCATCTGCCTGAAGTTCCCTTCAAATGAAAACACACAGGCTTCAACTCTGCAGATGTTAGTATCTTGTTGGAGCCTGCCTTCATTTTGGACCCCCCACTTTGAGACCAACTCAGACACCAGCTTTGCTAAGAACCACATTTCTAAGATGAGGTCTCTATTCCATCTGTATTGTATAAACACGCTTTGAACATTTTACAACAGCACAGAGCTTAAAAAAGAGAGAGAAAACAATTAAACTTACTCTAAGTTGATAGGATCTCAGTTCATAAATATTAGGCCCCGCTCTGGGAACAGGTTCATTCCAGAAACTAAATTCCAACAATAACTGGTTCTTGCGGGACAGAAGCATGTTACCTCTTTCTTTGCGGAACTCTGTGAATTCCTAAAAACCAATGTGATCACTGTCAAAGCGTGTATTATGTTTCAACAACAAAAAGCAGTACACCATGTGATGGCATAGGGGTTTTTAATGCTGTCTTGGGATTTTGGGACGTGGAAATCCTTTAAATTGTAAAGGCATCTGAATTCCCCTGGCATATTTGATGATTTCGAGTGGCATGTTTCCACAGCACTAAGTGAACTTGTTTCATAAAGTATCCAGGTTACTAAACCTCAGTGTTCCTGAGTATGAGAACAGAAAGAGGTTTCTTTCAGGAAGTAATGAGATACAGAAGCAAAAGCAGGTACCCAAATGTGCAGTTTCTTGCTCTGACTATTATTTGTTCTCTTCTGAGTAAAATAACCATTGTAACAAAATGAACACGATTTACCTTATTTTGACGGAGTTTGTTCATGACCTCATTGAGAGCTGGATACCCTCCCTCGTATCTCCACAGATGAACTGAAACAGACAAAAGGAACCTTTTTCAGGGATGTCACAGACCTGAGCTAAATCTTATGGAATGTCACAGTATAAAATGCTGTTCATACTACATAATTATACAGAAAACAGGAATCAGGTAAGATGTTTAAAAGTAAATGTCATTAAAGGAAGCATTACACATAGGAGCATTTTAAAAATAATGGAATCATCTGCTTTTGGAAGAAGGTTCTCTTGGCGAATTTTGCCATCTACTCTGAAGATAACAGGGCAATTTCTGAAAGGGCTTTTTGTTGCCATGCTTTGGGATGACTTTACATGACTGTAGTTTCAAGTATCCTCAATGTCAGAGGATAACTTAATTCCAAAAATGTGCTTTATACCAATTTCATCTACGAGCAACAGGGGGGTAGACTTGTTAATTCAGTAAATTATGCAAGCACAAAAAGCAACACATTTTCTGTAGGACATGAAAAACGATGCAAATGCTGGTTTTGAGGTAAACATTACATAAAAGGCAGAAGGTATCTGAACATGCTAGAACTGCTACATTTGCTAGGATCTTCCCCATAAAAACATATTCAGAACAGGTATCCACCTTTAAGTTTTTTCAAATCATTCTCTCTTCAATAAATCATAATAAATGCCTTTAATAAATTATAACAAGATGTATTTACAAGCACTTAATATAGCAAGGCAACAATATTTCACCTCGAAGAGTCACAAAAGCTATTTTCTCTCCTGTAAAGCAGTCCTATGCCTGTTCTCTCCAGGAGAGCAAACTGGAGACTAATGTAAGGCACTTCACTATGACAGCAGATTCATTCAGTGCATCTGCTTCTGCTGTCTTATCCCCAGGGCAAATTTGATTTATCCACCTAATATTAACATAGCCTGGGCACAAATACTGAACAAGTCAAAACCCAATAATCTGCTTCATTACACTGCTAGAACTGCTGCAATAACATTTTCAAGGCAAGCTATGGATGCAATCACATATACAGTCGGTGTTGATATGTTACAAAAGCAACAAATGAGACTTGGCTAAAATATTCTCATTTCAACTGTCTTCATTCCCCAAATTTCCCTCAACTTTTAGAATTGTTTCACAGACATTGGCTGGTTTATCTACTGCTACTTCTTTGCATTTGTTCAGTGGCAATATTGCAATATGCTGCGAATGCAAGACCAATTCATGTGTACATGAGTGTAGTTTTAATAACAAAGCAATTACATTGATATTAGCATAGCTCTAACAATGGAGCTACAAAACCAACTAGGTAACAAATATCAGTACACCACTCTGTGGCTTCCCATTCCTTCAATTTCCAAGAGCCTAGGGAATTTTTCAGGTTTTCTCTCTACTCTAGACTCTGTATTTACCTCCGAGGTAGCTCTTCAGTCATTTCTAGTTTCACCACACTTTCAATCTGCACAGTTAGGCAGTATCCTTCTATGAGTAGGAACAAAAATATTCTAACTTTCCTCCAGTAAAGGCCTAGCTTATTGCTGAGTTTACAATGCAATCATTTCTTTTTCAGATGGCATGAATGATTTGCACTCATTATCATACAGCAATTACAGCATGAAAGTCTGAGTAAAGCTTTTTACACTGGCCAATGCATGATAAACTCTGTCTTTGTAAGCCTTTGCCTTTACCCTAAATATTAAGGTACATTATCTGTGCCCACAACATATGAGAGGACCACATTTCACAAGCATTTCCCGGAACTGTTAATCTACCACCTGGAAAACATGAAAGTGTATTAACAGTATGACAAATTTTAGGAATTAATGCTTTACTGTCAAACTCAACAAGACAAAAAGCAAGCACTGTAAATGTTAATATGACTATTGATAACTGATGCACACACACCCTCACTGTATGCATTGCTAAAGGTTTACTGTCAACAGAGATGATTTAAAGAGAAGAAACCTGCCAAGCACACGTTTCACTTGTATGGTTTTACATTCTGTTGTACTTCTATCTCCTACCAGCCTGATCTTGCTCTCCGTACCACGTGTTCCAAGTCCCCACCAGTGCACATGGGTAGTGTTTTTCTTCATGAATCTTTGGCAGCACCTCTTGACTTGAAAACAAGGAATACAGACACTATATTGCATTTCCTTCAGGGAGGCTACAGTTGATACGTATAACAAATCACCACACGTTTATCATTATGGTATGAAAATTCATAAGCTCTACTTTTCAGAAGAGAAAGCTGAAATACAAAGATGTGCTACACAGGGGAAAGATAGCTACAACACTATGGAAAATTAAGGGAAATGTTACCATTTCTTAGCCTGTATGACACATACACAGCATAGTAGAATTCTTTCGATGCAATACATTATGTCTGTCACCTAAAAGGTTATCCAACACATTAGGAAAATAAATATCAGGATGTCTCACTTACAGAAAACACAGCCTAACTACATGGGTGATATGCTTTGGGAAAAGCTTTCCTTTATCAAGGGAGGTAGAACACACAAAAATAGGAAAGGACAGTCTTCTGTACCAGTTACAATGCTATTAACTGTGGAGTTGAATGAATAAAACCAAGTATTTGGACAGATCAAATGATGACTGTACTTCACAGTATGCAGCCTTACTCCTTCCTACCATTTCAGAAAGTGGTTTTCATTTGAGTCAACTTACCCATGGAAACATCCAGTGAAACTGCCTTAAAAATATCCCCAACACAACATTTCTGTTTGACTATTTCCAGTATCCCTAACAGTTTTTTCAGACTTTAAAAGTGGCCTACATTAGCTTTAGGAAATTAAGTCTCACTGACTGCTGACTCATTGAAGACAGCTTTCCTTGCACTGTACTTTGATGAATAAGCCAATTAGGCTGGTTGAACTTCACCTTTTCCTATTTTTCCCTGAATCATTACCCCTCTTACTCAGTTTGGCTCATAGGCAACGAGGCTCTGCACAATGGCAAATAATAGGCCGGCCTTGGGCTGAGAGTCATTAGATAGGAATTTTCCTCTTGATTCTGGCACTGACTTTCTAGACAACCTTGACCAAATTACATTTCAATTTGTACCTCACCATTTTTCACTACACAGTGTAAATAAGATAGAACGACTTTCCAAGGCTGTTTCATAATCAGTTCATTTTTGCAAAGCATAGTGAGATCCTAGAAAGGTAGCTTTAAACAGGAATGCTAAATTATTACTATAACCCTAAAATATATTTTGTTGCAAATTATAGAAAACCCCCACCCATATAATACCTTATGAACACCATCTTTTTCCTTTTTAAAAATAACTGTTCCTAATTCTTCTGAAGGGGTCCTCACCCACCATCATTCACTAAGTACTCTCATAACAGTCTTCATGACATTATTTCTTTATTCATACACAGTGACCAATCTGTATTCTGATTTGCTATAAAGAGTAAAGAATTAATCTGTTCATCTTTAATTTAGAGAGAGGAGGGAGGGAAGTTCAGAGAGGCTTTGGGTTTTTTATTCCTCTATTCTTTTCTCCTTCCCTGGAATACTAAAATTTGCTCTGGATTAGGACAGATCTAACCACATGTACTTCACCTGATTGCTGTCAGTAATTTCCTTCTTTGCTACTGTCTCTTTCCTTGAAAATAAAAGCCTTTGCTTTCACTCAATATTTAGGTAGCTCATGAGATAACGCAGAGAAATGGTTCCTTCTTGTATAAGTGGACATGTTTATATTAAGCTTTTAAACAGAAAGCTGGTTGAATGCTAACTGTGCTTCTCTATTTATTTTTTAAACAAAAAAGCTAAATATACCTTATGACTGAGTGTTATTCTAGTGGATTTCTGTGTTTGTATAACAAGGAAAAGAGTTTTGGGTTATCTAGCCAAAGGCTAGTACAGCCAACCAGTAACAGAGTAAAGGACATAAACTAGGAGTTGTGAACTTCTTCCCCACCCTCCAGCCCAGATGGTGTTCTCACTGATATATCACACTTAAAAACACTGATTGCAGTAGGGTATCATTATGATAAGAATGTTTGTTTAACTGACAAGATGATCACTGTCAGTGAGGCAGCTCTGCTGTTTTGAAACATGTGAGGCTCACTGCATTTCCAAATCCAAACATACAGCTCTTGAAGAGGCAGTTGTTCTGGCTCCAGAGGAGTGATTATAAGGCAGAAGAGGACTAAGATTTCTGTAATTTCAGCCTTGAAGTAGTAAACTTAAAATTTTACTAATTTTATACATTTTATAAAGCTGTAACTTTCTGGAAAACCCATTAACTACTGCTCCCTTTGAGGATATGACTCCAATGCCAAGATCCTAGTCAAGGATTTGCATAGCTCTTTATAAGCAGATCTCAGCAACATTACTTTTATAGAAGGATACAGATGAGCTGAGAAAAAGTCAGCCCCTGGGTTTTTAAAATATCCTCAAAGTTACACTTCAGTTTCATACTATCATGTAGTTTTACTTACCACTGATCTTTCCCTTTCCTTCCTGCATGCAGACAACCATCCTCAACACATTCCTACATGGCAGCTGGAGTGGGACATCCTAACCTACCAGGATCTACCTGCACGGACTAGCAATTGTAAGACAACTAAGGGAAGAGGCAGAGCTGTTCCAACAAATATCACCAGTGTTTTCACAACAGGCATAATCCTAAATTGCAGCTTAGGAAAATGATACCTCCAAGAGGGAAGGCAGGGGCTAAAATGAGTAAAGTATCTATTGCCATTTCTCTCCAAGAAAAATATGACCTATTTAACCCCATACCCTGAATGTAAAAGCAGAATTTTTCCACCTCCCCTCTAAATAATTACGATATTTGCCAATACAGTTTGTGATCAAATCAACATGTCTAAACCATGAAAACAGAACACACACACACTTACCAAAGCTTGTTGTAGGCGTCTAGATATTCTGGTTTTACATTGTGAACTGAAACAACAACATTACGTGAGAAGTGCAGGAACAGAATGAAGAAGTGGTAATGTGAAATATAAAAGTATCACTCACTCTGTAGTTTATACAGACTGCTGGTCTCTCTTTTGGCTAGAAGGTTGGAGTGAGCATCTTTCCTTGGATCGACTTTGCGAACAAATAGCGACTTTAACCAACTGTCTTCACGAGGTCTGCTAGCTGAAGATGCCAGCCCCCTACATGTTAACAAGTACATGATACTGTCACTGAGTGTGTCCTGAAAATGTCCACAATCAAGTTTAATGCAAACAGTATCATAACACACAGTTACATACATGTCTGTTACCAAAACTTTCCATGGAGCCGCTTCCTATCAAGGTAAGGGCAGTTCTTTCCCCACTGCGATTCACCCTCTCACACACCATTTTACTAAATGAAGAGCCAAACAGTTAACCATCCACATTTATTCTTTGGGCACATGGCAGGGAATGGGTGGATGGCTGCTTTTGCTGCCTATTCATCTGCTTTGTAATCCCATGTCTTTACTCAGGAATGCTGGGTCTGTCCTGATGTACACAGACAAGAGTGAAAAAGAGCAAAAAGACACTGTGCATAAGGGAAAATGTGTACAGTGTAAACAGGAAAGTAACTGCCATATGTTCCTTAAATATAGCTCCAAAAATGAAAAGTTGAATAGCACATCTTTCAACACACAAAAATACAATGCAAGTTTAATTTGGGAAAAATTACAAGTGGCAGGAAACAAATAGCCTGCAAATACTGCAATTCCAAATCCTGGCAACTGTACTATGCAGGGGTACAGGTCCCATTCTTTGTGCAACATCCACAATTTCCTGCTCTTTGAAGCAGAAGAATTTCACTCTTTTTCTGTGTAAACTTTATACAGTTTCTATACACTTCTAAAATAGCACCATTTCTCTTTACATCACAGTACAAAAAACATTATCATTAACTGTGCTTTTTTGTTAAATGATGTGTTAAAGGAACTATGCTTTTTTCCAGCTGACAGGAACACCCTCACTCCCCAAAACTTGTGTGCAAGAGGACAAGAAAGCTGATGTACTCGGCTGCTTCTCTACAATGCTTCTCTACAGGGGACCCCAATCTCAAATGTCTTTTCTGCTTTTCATAAGAAGCACCTCCTTCAATCTGCCTCTTTTGGATATAGGGTTTCTCCTGAAATACTAAAATACTTCTCTGACATACTGAGAATGTAGCACCACAGCTGGAAATTTAAACTTTTTGCCACCTCAGAAGTCAATTTTTCACTCCTCATTACTGACTAAGAGCTCCAGAAGATAGCTATCAATGCAATCTTCAGCTATAAAGCTGTCTTCCAGATAGCAAAAGCTTGTGACAATCATTCAAGGGGGGTGTAAAATATAGGGAAATTTTTGGGAAAGAAAATCTCAACTTCCTTTAGGAAAAATACCTTCCTGAACCTGCCTGTCTGTATTACACAAAAGTAGTTCACACTAGAAGTGTTTTTCATCAACCTTTTAGTCTCAGTATCTGAAAATAACATAAAGAACTGGTTCACCCAGTGGAGCAGGATGGAGGCAACAAGCTACTTCAAAGCAGAGAAACAGTAACAACCAGAGAACAACTGCAGCTGAGCTGACCTTCAATGTTAAAGAATAATGAGTAAATACCTTATAGGTGCATTTATTGAAAACGGTGCCTTCTTTGCCCCCAGGCGAACACATGAACATGTTACTGTGCTGAAAGCTGAGCAGCCATTCCCGAGTACAAGCATTTAAAAGGGCATTCCATGATAAGGCTGTTGCCTCAGTAGTGTTGTCACAGGTGCTACAGGAAAACAACCTGCCCCAGATGATGGGGGGCAAACCCTACCAAATAAATCCAGGTTGTTTTAGCAAGCTCCCTTAAAGTAAGCATTAATGCTCACTGGACAGCAAACAGGGCTCTAGGAGACAGAACTCAATCCCAGTCCTGAAGTGTTTGGGGTTTTTTTCAACTCAGACCTATAAATTATCACCATTTCCTCCCCTTTATTAAACAGAATTAGCAAACTAATATTTAGAATGCTCTTCTATGAGGATTATTGTTTGCAGCAACCTTTGAAGATTAAAGAGACAAATAATCATGATGCTTTCTTTTGTGAGCCACCTTCAGCAGCAGCAAGAGCAAGCTGGAGTTACGGGGATAATACTGAAATTGGGAGAGTCTCATGTCTTGGATGTTAAACTGCACCCAAAACTGGAGCTATATTTAATTTTCAATACAGTGAAGTAATACTTTACATTTATGTAAAATCTTTTACCCAGCAACTGTGAAGTTCCTCATGAACAACGACTAACAAATCATGACCATCCACCTAAATATACACTTTACTTACAGTAAAGAATGGTATTTACACATATATAACTTTATTCAGTTTATTATATTTATGAAATATTCACTGCACCCAACCCGAGATGCTGGGGCTCTATTTTTCATGCATATCCTCAGAGAAGTCCTACACTTCTAGCCTCCTTCTAGACACCCACAAATCAAGAAGTCCTGCACTCACTGCTGATTCACTTGTGTGGGCAGCATGTACCCAAGATTAGCAACTGGACTGCCACTTGTAAGCATCAACCACAAATGAGTTCAAAACTAATCCATCATCCAAAAAATCTACTTTTAATCAACATAACACTATGCCCTACAATAATACCTGCTCCAAATAAACAGATACTGGAACTAAACTGTTCCAAAACCCAAATACCACTGATGAAAATGTGAATATACACCTAGAACACACGTAGACACTCTATATGGAATTACCATCACACTTCAGTTTTTGTTTTCTGGGAACAATACTGATTAAAGGCACTGCTTGACTTGCCAACATGTTCTTACCCTACAAATGTTAACTATGGGCTTAGCTTTCTTGCTACAAAGATCTGAGGCTGTGAACACAATGCTGAATAGCTTGCTTAGATTAAAAACAACGGTGAAAACACTTCTATCCCACTTAGCTGCTGCTTTAGCACAAACTGGGTGGGAGGTATCTGGAGAAATACTTAGATTTTGTAATAACCCATGTCTGCCTGGAAGAGAAAGAAAAACAACTTGTCTGTAATTGGCAGGTTTTGATCTGTGGTCTAAACAAAGTTTATTTGAAACTAAAACATGCACATAACACCTTGCAACGTATACACTCCACAATCCTCCGTGTTCTTCTTTTGAACAGCTGCTCGCAGTGATGTCTTCAGCCTCGCACAGGGGCTGCTGCCCATACTGAGGTTTGAGACAGCATGGAGGGAAAACACATGTAGATCCATCCCAGCTTGGGTGCTTCTGTTTGACACCCAGGGAGCACATGTGTTTGCATCCTACACCCAACATGTGTGCACGTCTGTGCCCTGAGAGCTCTATGTGTACCCTTGCCCCCCAAGGGGTGTGCATGTGTCTGACCCTGCACCCATCAGACATGTGGGTATGCAAATGTCTGCACCCCAAACGTGATGGATGTGTCTGTATGTGCCCCTTAACACCTGCATATGCACACACATCCCAGCTCCTATGGGAGTATGAACACACGTTCCCTCACACCCAAGGGGTACACACACATGCAGAAGTCCTTGTGTAGCTGTGCACCGTGAAGGCAAGGAGATGCTGGTGCCATGTACCCTGACACTGGGGGAAACATGGATGTTGGGCAGGGGTGCCCGCTGGCATGATGTGGAGCAGTGTGCATGCCAACACCAAGGGGTTTTGTTACCGTGTGTGGCCATGCACCCCAACACCGGAGGACATGAGATGCAGGGTGCCCATGCACACTGTTGCTTGCTGGAGTTGGGATGCAGAGCAGGTGCACACCCTGATCCTGGAGGGATATTTGGGTGCAGAGCATCCATACACCTGAGCACGAGGACTACATCTGTGCGGGGTGGCTATGGACCCCGACACCCGGCCATCCGTGGCCCCGGGGTGCCCGCGCACCTCGTTCACTGCAGGGGCGCGGCGTCGGTGCAGCCCGAGCCCGGGGCACAGGCG